TCTAAATTATATATCAAGTAACTATTATAATTCAGAAATATTATACTTTTCCATTTTTTCCCATTGTAAAATTAAAAACTCGTATAGTTCAATAATAAAAAGACAAACAGTGGGATAGTAAAATTATACTTATATATTTAAAACACTATGGGGACTATGATGATGCTCTTTATGATATATATTTAGATAAAATTAAATAGTGAAGTTCATATTAGTGTGATGGTTTCAATCTGTAAATTGTATATGGTATATAATGTGTGCTTCGTGAATAGAAATAAATGGGAATTTTACTTATTTTAACTAGTAACTCCCGCTGCCCCATTATCAAACCTAAGGCTTCTTGCATGGCAGGAGAGCACTCTACCATTGAGCTACATCCCTAGCCCCTATTACTTCTTTATCATGGGAGTGTTAAATTGGTTAGTTATTTAGACTTTAAAAATTAATGTGATAAGAACTTTATTTATAGAGTTTTATTTTTAACTTCTCACAGGTATTACTCTGCCCTAAAAACTATGGAACAATTAGAGAACGTGTACTTTCCCCGGGTTAGTCAATACCGGTTTTGTCAGCTAATGATAGAAAATCTTCCTAAACTCCGTGAGAATATTAAAGAAATTTCCATGTCTGATCTCAAAGACTTTTTGGAAAGCATTCGAAAACATTCTGACAAAATAGGTGAAACAGCAATGAAACAGGTGAGATTAAAAATAATTTTAATTTAATATTTAATAATCTAGGATATAAAATATATTCCAAGGTTTACTTCTTTAACTTACTTGAAATGGTTTTGTTTGTTTGTTTAGTTTTACCATTTTCTTATCCTTCCTGGTTCTTGTTTAGAATAGATTTTGTAAGTGTTTTCTTTGGATTTATAGCTATTCTATAGTTAAATAAAGTCAGTCTTAACTTTAATTCTTCAGTCACTCTGCTGTAGAAGTGTATTTCAGAGAAGTCTAAAGACTTCAGAACTTCACCTGAATTCTCAGTAATCTTCTCCACTTGTGTGGTGTTACAATAACTTTTGCCAGTGCCAAACCTGTTATAAAATTAGCTTAAAACTGACAGCCACAGAGATAGGAAGTAGTCCTTTTATGCTAAAATTCTAAATTGTTCTCTTTTTTAAAACAAAGTTTTTGAATTAAAAACTCTTACAGTTCAATAATAAAAAGACAAACAATGGTATTTGTGTACTAGAACTGAAATGCATTCTGCTGTCATGTATAACAAATTAGAACAAATAAATAAATTTTAAAAATACAAACAATAGAAAGTATTCAGCAGTTATGAAGTTATAATTCTACCATTTGAGTCTGTGGTTCCACTCCTGATTATTTATCAATTAGAAATGAAACCATGGCCTTATGATGTTCATATCAACTTTTTTCACAATTAGTCAAAAACTGGAAAAAACTCAAATTGCTTTCACAAGTAAAGCAGAATGGATACACTAATTATGGTGTAGTCACACAGTTGAATAATACTTAGCAGTAAAAAGAAAGGAATTACTGATAATATAACACATAGGGATCTCTCAGATAGATATGTTGAACAACAGAAGTTGAGCACAAAAAGGCACTGTTTATATGCAGTTTTAAAGCAGGCAAACAAGATTAAAAAAAATCAATATAGTTGTAGGTAACTAGAAGCTTGAGTGGGAAGATTGCCTGGGAAAGGAAACAAATGAAGACAGAAATATTCTATAACATGATGAAAGTGTACTGTCAAAATTGTACAGCTATGATGTATGTATTTTAATGTACATAAGTCGTACTCCAAAGAAAATTGTTTAAAAAAAGGGTATATATGGAATGAGTGGGTAAATGTATAGATGAAACAAGTATGTAAAAATTTATGGTGGATGAGTGTTGCACACCTTCATTCCAGTGACTTGGGAGGTTGAGGCAGGAGGATTGCAAGTTTGAAGCCACCCTAGGCAATAGGGCAAGACCCTGTCTTAAAATAAATGAATAAATAAATAAGAATGTAAAAATATTACTTGGTTAGAGATTATTGGTGGGTACCTGAGAGTATGTTATATTATTTTATTTACTTTGCTTATATTTAGAATTTTCATTGTTGAAAAGTTTTAAAATGATTATGATTTAATTCAAATTTCTAAGGACTGTTAAAACTCATAATAATTATTACATCATAAGAATAAAACAGTGCTCAACCTGATTTCTGATGCCTGAGTTTTTTCCCCCAAGTATCACAAACTACTTTTAAGAAGGTTTTATTTTATTTTTGTAATTTAAAAATTCATCTGTAACAGAAGTTAAATCAGAGGAAATTAAAATTCCATATATGAATTGAATTCCCTATTTTAATCTTTTAAAGGATTATCTATAAATCAGATAATTTCTGTTTTACTTCTAATTTTCTCAGCATTGCATAGTAATATACTATATTCTGTTTTTTTCTCTTTCTATTGTGAAATTCACATAACAAAATTAATTACTTTAAAGTAAAAGATTCAGCTAGTTGGTAAAGATTTTGTACAACCATCATTTCTGTCTAGTTTCAAAACACTTTTCATCACCTCAGAAGGAAACCCTGTGTCCATTAAGTGGTTAGTCATGTCCCATTCTTCCCTCCTTCCAGCCTTTGGCAACTACCAATCTGTGTTATGTCTCTGTGGATTTATCTGTTCTGAATATTTTGTATAAATGGAACCATATAATGTATGATCTTTTGTGTCTGGCTCCTCCATGTTAATTTTCTTTATTAATAGATTGTTTACTTGTAGGATGTATTGATTTTGGAAATTCTTTACCACAACCATTTTACTTTATAAAATTAGAACCATGTACATTAACATAGGACTTATACAATAATGTTTTCTGAAATAGCTTAGTTTTTTTCTCAGTTGTAGTTAATTCTTGCGTATGTGTAGATGAATTATACAGACTCAATTTTCAAATGATTTTTGATAGTATCTTTCATTCAGCTTAACATTTAATACTTAGTTGACAAAAAACTTTATTTGCTGTAAATAATAAATAGATAAATAAAGCCACAAAATAGAATTTAAGCCAGACTTACTACCTCTCTCTTCTATGGAAGCCAGGGTTGAGGTCATTTCCCCTACCAATGTGGTGATGAGAATGTGGTCTGTTGTGAGTGATAGTGTAGGAATAGAAATGGTAATTGTAGGTCAGTGGGTTAGGGTTCCAACATCTGGTTAGTAACTTGAAAAAAGTAGAATCTAAGAAGATATGAGAAAATAAATTTCAAAGTCATAGTGCAGGAAAAGAATCCAGAGGTTCTGAATCTAGAAACTATGATTATCCACAGAACTCTTCCAAGGTTAGGAAAGCCCCATGTTTAGAGGGAAATTTATAGCCTTAAATTTACAAATTAGGAAAGAAAGGCTGAAGTCAATGATCTAGTAGTTCCATTTCAGGAACTTAGAGAAATAGAAAATTAAACTCGAAGAAAAAAAGAATAGAAATAAACTTTCCTATGGACAAGTATAAATATATTACAGTGAATCTCTACATCATGTACAACCACAAGACTGAGATCCTAATTAGAATAAAATGTACTCCATGTTTGTATAAATATGTCAAATTATACTCTCCTGTCATGTGTAACTAAAAAGAACAAATTAAAAAATAAACAATGTGGCCTCTTGGTAATGTTATGAATTAAATTTTCATGGTCAGATTACATAAAACAATATAGGAAATGAGATCAGTTATGTTATTTTTCTCAATTTGAAAATGTGAACATATTTTGATCAGTTTGGGGGGTAACAATGTGATCTGAATTTTCCTCGTGGTTTAAGACATATATTAAAGGACATGGAAATGAAAAAAAAATGAAAGAATATAAATAAGGACAGATAGCAACATGATAGGAAATAAAATATAGTAAGTTGAATGGCAAAGCCAAAAGTTGGTTCTTCATCTTTTCAAATAAAGTTGATAAACTCCTGCAAGATTGTTTGTAAAGGAAGAGAGGAGGCACATGTATTGAGTAAACAAGCAAACACTGCTACAGATACTATACCTACATTAAAAATATAAGGAAGTATGGACAATATTTTGAACCAGTTTTTACCATAATAAATTTTGAAATAATTTGAATTCTGCTTTCTCCAAAATAGGCACAACAGCAAAAAGCCTTCAGTATTGCTCTGCAGAAGCAAAATAATGTGAAATTTGGGAAGAATATGTATATAAATCATGATAGAATTACAGAAGAAAAGCGTGAAATTATATTGAGACATATACTTGAGGAAGAGGATGAGAATGAAGAGGAGGTAATGGGGTTTCTTTATCTATTATTGGATAATTTTTTGGATCATAGTGTATATCTGTGTGACTCTTAGTTTTCCCATGAATTCATGTTGACTCTTCATCTTTCCATTGATGTTGATCAGATTGCAGTAGGTTTGGAATCACCTGAAATTCTGAACTACATAATTGATAGACAAATGGGGCATATTATTTATTCAAAAACCATTGATAGTTGGGTCTGGGTGTTTTGCCATAATTAGCAGTAAAAATGTAAACTTAATGACTTTTTTGTAGTAGTCTCACTTTTGAATTATCTTTGGCAAATTTTTTATTTCATAAGGTTTTGACCTTGCCATTTGCCCCAATTCTGGCTAGCTTATGCTTTTTTTTTTCTTGTTTGTTGTTGAATTCTTGCAAGTTATTTTTTTTTTTTTTTCCGTTTTAAAATTTTTTTGAAGTCTTAAAAAGTCTACAAACCTTGAAATTATTTTTAAATGTTTATTTTCTGTCACCATTGGTATCCAAATTTATTCTTTTATCTTATTGCATTTTTGATTCCCTTCACAAAGTTTTCTATTGTGTCTTTTATCTTCTTTGAATTCTTCTGAATTTAGTTGAATTTCATTTATATCATAGGGAACCTAGTTACTCTTGGTTATTTATAAGTTTATCAATGAAATCTTTAATTCTTCTAACAATCTAACTGAGACACCATAAGAACTCTTAATTGAATTGTGTGAATGTGTGCTCAAGCTTCCTCTGTAGATGGGGAAATAACTGAGTGTTCATTACATACATTTGTGCTGTATGTCTGAGGATGAGACAAAACACTCTTCTCTGTGTGTATGTATCTGTGTATATATAACATATATTGGTGCACATATATATTCAGTGAATGTCTGTTATCATTCTGAATATAGGCAGCTAAACATTTTCTTGATGTAGAATTAGTGTGTCTTGCTTCATCCCTTGAAATTACATAAGTGATTTTAAAATATACACTTTTGTTCTTTTGTAATATTCAGAGGATCTCTATTTTCTATTCTCTCTAGGAGTTCAAAATAGTAAAAACAGACCATCTAGTTTTCTTACCTCTGCTTTCCCTGGTCTGTTTTGTGTATCTTAGCTACTTAGAGTGTTACAGTCATGCCTTAACCCCAGATCTACACTCTTAGAGTTACCGTGTTGGTTTGCCTGTTCTCTTCTACTGTTAGTAAAATTTGTTTCTATCATTTTTCCCTAATAAGTAACATTATAATAAAAATAATTTAGGAAATGTGTTCTTTAAAAAAGGGTTTCATTCTACTATATTTTATTAGTTCCAAGCTGCAGTTTTTCATATTATAACATTCCAGAAGTTGGTATACATCTCAAAATTGCTGGTGTCATTGTTTCAAATTACTGCATTATTTTTTCTTTAGTGTCCCATAAAATAATAGCGATGGTGTCTTTAATTTGTAGGTATAATGGCAAACCATATGATTTCGATGCTTAGCAGAAGGAACTTTTGTTTTATAGGTAAACCATAAGTTTCATGCATCATTTTACAAAAACAACAATGAAGCATGTAGGTATTTGTAGCAATATTCTGGTTCTCTATCAAGTACAATAAAAATAAACTTTATAATCTAAACTAGTCAACAATGGTAATAAATAGATGAAGAATAAACTACTGAAAAAATGCTATAGTAAAATAAAGCAGGTATTTGTTTATATTGTATGCTTTCAATGGGAGGATTAATTGAATATTATAAAACAAAATCCATGAGTTTTCTTGACTGTGTTATCCAATAGCAGATTAATATTTTAAACTATGATTTTTTAAAAACTGATTTTATTTTTCAGGTCTTAACTGTTCAGGACCTTGTTGATTTTTCCCCTGTTTACCGATGTTTACACATTTATTCTGTTTTGGTAAGAATATTTCATATTTATGTATGTATACATATTTATATTATTTAAAAGGCATGTATGTAGTTTAAGCCTTAAAGAATGATCATAATCTTAGATACAATAAATCTTAATACAGTAAAAATTTGTGAAATATCCAGTGTATATGCACTTCTTTTTTTAACTTACAATGATCAAATTTCAAGTAACATATTTATGTATATCATAGGAACCTTACAGTTGTGTATAGTCATGTACATATAACAATGTTTTGAATTGTGATGGACTTCAAGTATGACAATAGTCCTGTAAGATTATAGGGAGCTGAGAAATTCCCCTTGGCTATTGATAGCTGTAGTCATTGTAATATCTTAGCATTGTCATTACTCATGTGTTTGTGGTCATGCTAATGTAAACAAACCTACTGTGCTGCCAGTCATTTAAAAGTAGAGCACACTAATTTCTTTATAGTATTTAATACTTTATAATAATAGTAAAAACTATATTACTGATTTATGTATTTACTTAGCATTTATTGTTATTTTAGAGTGTAGTCTTACTTAAAAAACACAAAAGAAGGTTAACTATAAAACAGCCTCATCCTTTAGCAGGTATTTCTGAAGAAGGCGTTGTTATCAAAGTTCCTTTTGTTGCTGCTTTCCAGTAAAATAAGATGTAGCTAAGGAAGATAGTGATATTGATGATTCTGACCTTGTGTAGGCCTAGGCAAATGTGTAGTGTTTATGTTTTGGTCTTGGTCTTTAACAAAAAAGTTTTAAAAGTAAAATTAAAAATTAAAAAACAGGCCTGGGATTGTGGCTTGGTGGTAGAGTGCTTACCTTGAATGTGTGAAGCACATTATAAATAAAATAAAATAAATAAATAAATAAATAAATAAAAATAAAGATATTGTGTCCATCTATAGCTAAGTTTTTTTAAAATTTAAATTAAAAAAAATAAAGATATTGTGTCCATCTACAACTAAATTTTTTAAAAATTAAAAAACAATTGACTAGGCTATCCCATATATCCTAGGTGTATTGTATGCTGTATCACCTAGTTTTTTTGTAAGAACATTTTATGATGTTTACACAACGAACACAATGCAGTTCTCAGAACAGATCTCTGTCATTAAGTGACACATGACTGCACTTCCATTTTTCCCCTTGTTTTTGTGGTAATGTTGCATCACATTTAATTATAATTATGTTATTTCTATATATGTTTTATTATAAAGTATGTTATTCTTATTTTTGGTTAACCAATCCCTTATCCTTTTAAAAAACTGCTTTATTAAAATATAATTCACATACCAAAAATTCATCCTTTTAAGGTATGTAGTTCAGTGATTTTAGCATATTCACAAGTACATGCAACTGTTTGTACTAATTCCAAAAAAACATTTTATTATCTAAAAAAGAAACCCCTTGCATTAGCAGTCACTCCTCATTCTCTGCCTTCTTCCCCCAGTCCATGGCAACCACAAATTTACTCTGTTTCTATTTGCTTGTTCTAGTTATTTCATTTAAGTAGAATCATATTATATGTGGCTTTTAGCTTCTGGCTTCTTTTATGTAGGTGAAAGGTTTTTGAGATTTTTTAAAACATTTATGTTTACAGCTGTGATTTCTCTGTAAGTGCTGGTTTAGCTTTATCTCATAAGTTTTGATATGTTGTGTTTTTGTTTCCAATTATCTTAGAAGTATTTTCTAGTTACACTTTGTAATTGTTTTCTTTAACCCACTGATTATTTGGGGTGGGGAGGGGAGTATTTGTTTAGTTTCTATATGTTTTTGAGTTTCCAAATGTTTTTCATTTAGTGTTTTCAAATTTAACCTAATTTGTGGTCAAAGATTATAACTATATTTTATATGTTTTCAGCCCTTTCAAATTTTTTGAGTCTTGCTTTATGGCCTAACATGTTTCTGTCTTAAGAAGAGTGTATCTCTGACTGTATCTGGGTGATATATTCTATAGATATCTGTTTTGATATAGTGATTTTTAGAGTCATTTATATTTAATATCTAATATATCCCCGTTGGTTATCTTCCTATTCTGTTATTGAAAGTGAGAGTATTGAAGTCTCCCTCTATGACCTTTGAATTGTCTATTTCTATTTTCAGTTCTGCCAATTTTTGCTTTATATGTTTTTGAGATTTTTTTGGTACGTGAATATATGTTTATAATTGTTGTGTCTTCCTTATAGATTGACCTTTTCTTTCCCTTCCTTTCCTTTCTTTTATTTTCTCCTTCCTTCCTGTAGTGGAAATTGAACCTAGGGTGCCCTACCACTAAGCTACATCCTTAGCCCTTTTTATTTTTTCTTTTGACACAGGGTCTTGCTAAGTTGTCAGAGTTGGCCTTGAACTTGTATCTGGGAATACAGGTCTGTGCCATTGTAGTTGGTTTACATGTGTTTTTAAAGGCCCCTCCTGAAAGACTAGAGCAGATCATATCATCACCACCACTAATACAAAAGAGTAACTCCACACAAAATTGGTATTTTACTTCAAGTAAAACAAAAATAAAACTGTGGTAATTCACAGGGGAAACTATATTACTGCTAGTTAATTTACATCTTAAAAATCAAATGTTTGGAAAAAAGTCAAACATTTGTTGTTTACAATAGTTTCCTCAGTTAATCATCATTGCTTTTTAATTTTGTTTGTAGATCTATAAATTTTTAGAAGGTTAAATCTGTTCATCTTTCTTCATATTTTTTTCCCTGTTTTTATTTGGTTAGAATAGCTAATAGTAATTTATATGTTCTTCAAGTCTCCATTTAAATCCACCCAATTCTTTTTGGAATACAGTGAGTTGAAAATAAAATTCTCATTAGCTTCTGAGTTGTTGGGATTGCATACTCCTGATTCTGATCCATTTTTCATCTTAAATGTCTCTTTTTTTGGTAATATTTTTTGGTTTGAAATCTATTTTAGCTGATAAAAGTCTATCTTTTGGATGCTGTTAACATAGTACAGTTTTTCCATCCTTCTACTTTTAAGATCTTTGGGTCTTTGAATATAAATTGTGTCTTATACAGATAATATATGGTTTAATTTTTTTTTAATCTAATCTGCTAATCTCTGTCTTTCACTGGCCTGTTTAGTTCATGTACATTTAATGTAATTACTGATATGGTAGGACTTGAGTCTGCTGTTTGCCATTTGTTTAAACATGTCATATGTCTTTTTGTCCTCTATGTTAAAAGCGTTTAAAAAATGTTATAAAAGGGTTACATTAAAATGTATGAACTAGATCTGTTTACTGTAGGCCCATTTTTTTAGCCCGATGTTCAAAAATTTTAAGAGAGCATTTCCTTCTTTGTTTAATCAACTATAAGTGTTTTATGAAAGCAAATAGGTATACTATCAAAAAGCAGGGCTGTCTTTGGAAAATAGTGCAAACAACATCTACATTATAGCTTATCACACTCATCCTAAGAGCGTTCATGGTGAATTTTCTTAGGTGACTATGTTCTAAACTTTTGGTGAGTTAAGGGACTATTTTGTTAGAAATATGAATGAATTAATTTTTGGAATGTATTAGACAAATTCAAAATCTTGTGTGAGAATTGCTGTCTTAGGCATTTTAAAAGTATATGAATGCTTTTCAAGGAGTCCTGGGCTAGAAATTTTAAGAAAATAAGTTTGAATTCTCATCTTTTTCGTAAAAATGACCTTTCTTGGACACAGCCTGTTTGCATAATAGTTCTTCTCTTAATGTTGATGCTCTGCCTAAATCCCTTTGAAGCCCTTTCTTAGGAGCTAGAAGTGCCTTGGAGTCTATTACCACTACGATTCATACCATGTGACAAGGATTAAAATTAGTCAGTCACTGTATGAGGGTATGGCAGTTTAGAAACCTAGATTCTTTGCTTCGATTAGGACAACTCTAGAGTTACAACTTATACTCTAAATTTATATTGTGGAATCAAGCTGAAGCCAAATTTCTTGGCAATTCTTTACCTAAGGTGGGATCCTGGATTGGCTTCCTGTTGTTCTCTTTCTTGCTTTCTTCATTTTTTGAGCAGTTTCCTTTTTGAGCATTTCTTTAGTATATTGCCGATCTTAGTTCTGTTCCTAGGAAAGCTACCTAAGATACTGTTGTATTCATTATCTATTTGCTGCATAAAATACTTGTTTAACATAATAACTATTTACTGCTTCACAGAGTCAACTGTTTGGGTGTGGCTTACCTGCTGGTTCTGCCTAAAGTCTCTCATGAGTTCTAGTTAAGAAGTCAGTGAGGGCTACAGTCATCCAAAGGCTTGAAAGGGGCTGGAGGATTTTTTTCTTCAATGGATTGATGGCAGAAGGCTCTTTACAAGGCCGCCTTTACAGTCCTCATGACATGGCAGCTGACTTCTGCTGGAGTGATACAAGAGAGAAATCAAGATAGATGGAAGCCATAAGATTTTTCATAACTTAGTATCCAAAGTGGCATGCTATTATGTTTGCTTTATCCTATTGGTCACATAGACCAACTATGATATAAGGTAGAGGGGAACTACATAGAATATGAATACCATGAGATATTCTTCGGAGGCTATCTTATAGACAACTCCACTGTTTATCAAAGAAAGTTGTGTCCTTCACTAATATTCAAGACTACCACGATGCATTGTCTTGTTCTGTAAAAAGCTTCCAGAATGTCACAGAAAAAAGAAGAAATTATATACACATAAGGGTGCCTTTCTTTCCTGTCTTACACAGTTTCCTGTTAAGGGTAAATTATATTAGAAACAATATATTTTGTCCTATGGTGGGGTGTTCTTAGTTCACATACATAGTAGGGAATAATGACATACTTGCCAGTAATATTAATTTACTCTCTTTTTTGGGGGGTATTGGGGATTGAACCCAGGGGCATTTAACCACTGAGCCCATCCCCAACTCTTTTTTATTGTGAGACAGGGTTTTGTTGAATTGTTTAGGGTCTTACTAAGTTGCCAAGGCTTATCTCGAACTTGAGATCCTCTTATCTCAGCCTCCTGAGTGGTTGGATTTATAGTCTTGTGCCAC